GCAGTCCACATACTTCTTATTGGCCAAGATGTGTCTGCTCTTTACTGCTGGAATTCGGAACTGAATCAATTCTCTTTTGTTCTGGAAGCACCTTCTGCTTATGATGCAGCTTCTATTACAGTAAAGTCTCTTAATTCAAGCAAGAATTTAATTGCTCTAGTGGGATCTATGTACTCACATATATATGAGCTGGCCTACATCTCCAGCCCATCTGACTTTATTCCTAGGTAGGTCCAACTTTATGCCAAGTGTCTTTATGCTTACCATAATTTTGTATCACATCTAATTTCTAAGTCTTTGTTTTGTGACTGAAAAAATGTACAAAATATAAGAGCTATTTATAAGCCAGTATTTTGGTATTATCTATATTTCTAATGTCTGTTTGACCAAGTTAACCAGTATTATATGAATATTTTGGATTAAAATTTATTTATGAAATGTTGCAATTTTTCCAAACCTTTGTCTTAAATTTTTTGAAGTTGACCTATTTTATATATACTTCTTATGCTAGTTCAGGTGAACTGATATTTGAACCTGGTGACAGAGAAGCTATAATCGCAATAAATATCCTTGATGATACAGTTCCAGAGGAAGAAGAATCCTTCAAAGTACAGCTGAAAAATCCCAAAGGAGGAGCAGAGATTGGTAATGGTGGTTATGTAAAAATAACCATTCTATCTAATGATGATGCCTATGGAGTTGTTGCATTTGCTCAGGTAATGATACCAAAGATCCCACACTTACAAGTCAAAATGATTTATCTTTCTATTTATATATTGCCTATTATCAGCACTCAGTGAGTCAAACATTGAGCATCTTAAGCCTCTCTCTCTTTTGTTTTCCCTGATTCACCTCCTATTCTACATTCTAAGGTGGATTCTACTGACAGCTTACAATTTATAGTCTTACATACTGGACTATCTGAGTCAACTTGTCCTAATCTTTTTTTTTGGTACTGATTCTTTTTATAGGATTGCATTTGAAATGTTACCAGTTGGTCTTGGCCCCAGAGTTTGGCTCTCTATTTGCCCTGTTCCTGAGGACTATTATGCCTTTGTTATTTCGGGGGGGGGGGGGGAGATTGAAAGAGAGAGGTGGGGATAGGAGGAAGAGACAGATACATGTACTGTACTGATGCAGATGCTTTTTCTTGAGGAAAGAGAGCCATGCAAATCCTCCCTGGTCCAATCCCATGCCCAGACTTCGTATTCCTTTAACAGTGAGCAAAAGGACACACATTTATGTCTGAAATATTCTTTACGTAAGGAAAACCTAACACATATTGGCTTAAACACTAAGAGTATGTTCACAGAGAAGGTGGGCTTCAGGGTTGGTTGAGAACTCTACTTTGTCACCATGGCTTAGATTTTTTCCATCTCTCCATTTTCCAACACAAAGCTGATCCTTCATTAGATTGTTTGAAAGCTGATGCTATGGTTAGGGCTACTGCTTTCTTGTTCATGTCCAGTTGAGGAGAGTGATACTTTATGTGACTCTCAGAGTAAGGAATAAGTTTCCCAAAAGCCTCTAGAAAATGCCTTATGTCTTATTGGCCATAACTGGGTAACAGGCATATTCATTCATTCATTCGTTCATTCATTCATTCATTCATGAAGTAGACATTTAAAAAGCACCTACTCTTGGTTCGAGAGGTGGAGAGCCTGGGCCCTGTGTTGTGGATCCCCATGACCACCCATAGTTTCCATGATTCATTAGAAGGACTCACAGGACTCAGCGTGTAGTCATACTCATGGCTATGATTGATTACTGAAAACAATAGAAAACAAAATCATGGAAGAGAAAAAGCTTATGGGGTGGAGTCCAGAGGAAACCAGGTGCAAGTGTTCAAAAGTCCTTTCCCAGTGGAGTCACACAGGACACACTTAACTCACCTTGCAGTGAGTTGTCACAACACCTGTGAAATGTTGCCAACCTAGGAAGCTCACTAGAGACTCAGTGCCCAGGGTTTTAACTGGGGGCTGATTACATAGGCACCCTCTGCCTAGCACATACCAAAATTGTAGGTGCCCAGAAAGAAAGCAGATGTTCAACGTAAACCAGATGTTCAGCATACAATTTGCACAAATTGTTTGTACAAATAGTTTAGGCACTAGAAGCCACGTATCAGTTCTGGGAGTTGGGGGAAAACTCCTGAAATCCAAGTTCCCAGACACCAGCCTAGGGCCAACCTTGCAAGCAGGCCTTTTTAAGGATAGGAGTCAGGCCCACTATGTTAACACTTTCCTGCACAGTTCCTTAGCATTGTGATGAATTTGGCCTCTCAGGGAAATGGGAAGCCTTCGGAGAGGCTGGGGTAGAAGCGCAACATGATCCTACTCACATTTTAAAAGGAGCACTCTGACTTTAGTATTGAGAATAGAGTGTAAGTGACAGAAATAGTCCAGTTAGGAAACAATTGCAGTAATACAGCAGTAAGTGACAGAACTAAGGGAAGCATGAATTTGCCATTTACTGAGATATGGATGACAATAAGAGGAGCAAGTTTGGGGGATAAGATGAGGAGTTTTGGGCGTGCCAATGTTCTCAGTCAATTGCATGCAGGTGTCAGATCACCCTGTTGTCCAGTCTGGCCTAGCCTTGGAGCTTGGGGCAGGTCAACCCAATAGAAATATAATGTGAGCCACATATAGTTTTAAATTTTCTAGTAGCCACATTAAGAAAAAGTAGAAAGAAGCAGGTCAAATTGGTCTTAATATTTTATTTTATTTTATTTAATCCAGTATATCTTAAATATTATCATTTCAACATACAATGAACATAAAATTATTGATGAGATATTTTATGTTTTTTTTTTCATACTTTGTCTTCAAACTCTGGTGTGCATTTTACACTTACAGACTGCTACATTTCACATGCTCAGTAGCCACATGTGTCCAGTGACTACTGTGTAGGGTGGTGCAGCTCTAATACATGAATTGTTGGGGAGAGGGGAGGGGAGGGGAGGGTTAGAAAGAAAGATGAGGACCCCTGTTTCTACCAGGTGTTCTGCTGAAGTGACATCTTACCAGAGAGGTCTTCCCTGATTCTTTCTCCATCATCACTCTGTATAGTTATAGCCTGCCCTTTTTGAGGTGGGGAGGGAGCTGGCTGGGATCTGAATCCTTGACCTTGGTGTTATCAGCACCATGCTCTACTGAGTGAATTAACCGGCCAGCCCCTTACCCTGACTTTTCTTTTCATGGCATTTATAATTGCCTAATATTTCTGTTATCAGTTTGTTGGTTTCTTCTTACTAAAATTGGAGAGCCTGGATACTGTTTGTTTTGTTCACAGCTTTATCCCTGAACCAGAAAAGTGCCTGGCACACAGTAGGTGCTTAGTATGAGCTTGTCATTATGCAGGGGAGGAAACAGGGCACTCACATGGCCTTCTGAGGACCTCATGCACGTGTGTAGGGCAGAGTTGCGGTTCCTGGGGCCAGAACCAACATGCTCTGCCACTATTCTCACCTTTAAGCCTTGCTGCAGATGGAACGCACATTCTGTTCCTCAGCTGTGTAAGAATGGTAGATTTCTCTTTATGAAGCTTGTTTCAAAATTATTCTAGAAACATAAAATCACTGTGGTTTAATCCTTGCCAATAAAATAGTATCCAGTGTTCCTTCAATCCATTCAGTAGAATTCCTCAATACATATCTCTTGTGTCTGGACAACCTCATTCCAAGAGATTTAATAGATAATGAGAATTTCTTGTGTATTTTCTGTCTGCATTAAGTCTTCATTTTACTGACCCTCATTAATGAAGAGCATGGAGCCAGAAAAGGACTTCTTTTTTAAAAGGCATTGTCTTATGTGAGTAAATTATATGCATATTTTAAAGTCAAGGCATTTTCTTCAGGAATGTTTGATTGCCTTGAGCAAGATTTTATTACTATGCAACACCTGTAACAATGTGTTAAAATGCTGTGTGAAATATTGCTATAGGATAGGATGTCTACTCAAATCAGCATTCTAAATAGAAGCTTTCATAAGCTTTAAGAAATTAATGGGGGTGTCTATTTTCAGATTGCCCTAGTAAAAAGGAAAGAAAAATCTCACTGGAAAGATTAAAAAAAAAAACCCAACAACTTTATGCTTTATATTCTTGCTTTATTGCCTATAGAGAAACCAGGGATATTGTAAGAAGGCATTCTTTGAAGTGTTCATTTTGAGGAAAATTTCATTAAATGTCTGGCAAAAGATGTTGCATGATTTCAGTGAAGAATGTCATAATCACACAGAAGTAGGAATCAGTTTGGAACAAAAGAAAGAGGCTAGGAAGCATAAGTGAGAAGAAGAAAGTAAGGAATTCTAACATAGAGGAAAAGGTATTTCTGGCAGGAAAAACAGTTGTAAACACCATGAACTAAGAATGAAACACCATCAGTGGAAATAAGACAGCCTACAGAAACATTTAAGAAGGTATGAATTTAAGAATAAAGGACATCTGCAATTGATCAGAAAGGGTGCCCTAATTAATTCTGATGACATCATTGCACGTGGATGGGACACTGGAGACCATGTAGGTGAAACTCTTATTTTATAAATAGAAAACAAAGACCTAGAGGGATTGTCAGAGGTTACAAAGGGGAAAAAGATTTCCCTGCTCTTCTGACTATATCCTTTCCACTCTACCCACTTTCTACTGCTGTGAATACTACTTTCAAAAAAGTAAATGCTTTCTGAGTAAAAAAGTAATATGTGTTCACTGAGCAAAATTTGAAAAGTATAGAAACAGGAGGACAAAAGTAAACATAATACTATAAACATTACATATTAACATTTTAATTTACTTTAGCTTAGTCTTGTACTCATTCAAACGTGTGTTTTAAAATAAAATCACGGTCATCTCATATTACTGTTTTATAACTGCTGTTTTGCACTTACTATATCATGTTGTTTAGTACTGTGAAGTTGGTGAATATATAACAATAGGATATAAAGGAAAGTCTGCTTCAGTAATTTCCAGTAACCCCTTGTGACTCTCTCTATGTTTTCCAGAATTCATTAAATAAGCAAGTGGAAGAAATGGAGCAAGATAGCCTAGTAACCTTGAATGTTGAGCGCTTAAAAGGAACATATGGTCACGTAACTGTAGCGTGGGAAGCTGAAGGAAGTATTAGTGATATATTTCCTACCTCGGGAGTGGTATGTAATTTAAACAATTATAGGAGACACTTTTAATTATGGTTGCTATTGAGGTATGGGATCAAACCCTGCTTATGGATGAAGTGTTTGTGTTTGACCATGTCAATACTGGATTCCTACTAATCAACACAGAGAGGGATACAATTTAAGGTTAGTTTTTACTGTTCTGTTTATTGTTCTTTTTTCCTATAAAACCAAACTTACCTGTAACCTGTAAAAAAGTCATCCCTTTTGAGGTACATTGGTTGGCCAAACTGAAGGTATATTACATTGTCAGAAAGTTAAAACTAATCAAACTGGAGATGGAATCATGATTTCAAGATTTATGTAAAATGAAAGCAGTAAATAGGGAACAAGTCTGTGTGAAATACTAGACTTATGAAAAAGATCATAGTAGTAGGCTGGGTATCCTCTAAATAGACTTTGAGATTGAGAGCTGTGGGCAGAAGTTTTATTAGAGAGGTACATCTATAAGAAAGAAAGGAAGGCAAGAATGTGCAGAGGGAGAAGCTGATCCACAGGCATTTGCAACTGAGGTCAATCCTATGGGTGAGTTCTGGAGCTGAGCTGTTCCTTCAGACGGGTTCCCAGTTTGGGGCTGAGCCATTTCATCCCCATTTTAGCAGTCCTTGACTTCAGGTCAAGGACTCTGGGTGTGGCACAACCTTGCAGGAGACCGTTTGCTGCAGCTGAGGGCTATTGCCAATAACACAGAAACTGTTGTGTCCAGAAGCCTGGGGATGGTGCATCAGCCCCAGAAGGGATCTGGGCAGAGGATAACTGGAGGATAGTAAAAAATTGGGCTCAGGTTCAAGAATGGAATCAGGGTGGGCCAAAGAAGTAGATGACTCCCAAAGAGAGAGTTCTGGGATCCTTTTGTTTTTAGTTGTAAGATGGATTGTTTCCTTGGCCTGCCTTGAATTTCATAGATTAATCTATTTATTTTGCCCAAATGCTTCTCAGAAGATTTCTTTTAAAGGAACTCTCATGGGACTTTCTCAAAAAAGGACAGGTATATATATCATGGTTCATCATTTCTGGGTTCTGCATCATTTGAAAGGTGATTGAAGCTTTAGTTTATTAAGAATGTTATAGAACATTCTATTGCATTGAATATTTACCTTATGCAAGCTGCCAAAACTATAAATTGTATCACTCAGGTTCTATATGTTTTGAATTGTAATATAATTCCCCAATTAAGATTTCTTGTGTAAACATGATTAAATTTATTTCTAATTGAAATGCATAATAGTATCTTAAATGTAGACTGCATTTTGAAAGAATTAATTATTTTATTCAGAGGTCAGTAAGTTTTCTTCGATAGAGGGCCAGAGAGTGTGATCTTTTTCACAACTACTTTGCCTTTAGCACAATAGCCATGATAGAAGATACGTAATAGGATGACCTTGGCTATGTTTCAATAAAACTTCATTTACAAAAAAAGCATTTGACTGGCAAGCAGTAATTTTCTGACTCCTGATTTTGTTAGTAAAACTCTTGAGTTTGTATCCTTCAGTTCCTTCTCTAGCTGGAGAGCTGAGTGTCAGCAAAGGTAGAGGCATCGGCCTGCAATGCTAGTTTGAAAAATTGTAAATAGTCTACAGTGCTGGAGAATAGGGTATGAGGTGGGGAACAATGGGAAATGACAATCCAGAAGCAGACAGAGCTCTACTAGCAAGGACTTCACATGTCTTTTAGCAAATCTGGCTCTTTAGAGAATGGAGACAGGAGAAGAGAGAAATGCTGTGATTTTTTCTTTCACTACCTCAAATTTGGTTGATTCATTGTTAAATGATACATCTGTTCAGAGTCTAGCCAAAAGAAATAGGCAAAAGTTTTATAAAGAAAACATTTAAAACTAGTATGCCACTTTCTTTTATTTCTACAGGTCTTTGAATATCATATCTAGGACTGAGATTCCCAGAACGACTATGTCCTCTGCACCATAATGGACTTTAGGCTTCAGGATATGACAATTTGACTACATGTTTTATTACCTTAAGTTTTAGAAATGGTTTACTTTTTACTTTTTCTTAACAAGCTTCCACTTTTAATATAAAAGGGATTTGGTTTATTTGTACAATCATATTATGTTGCTTAAATATTTCTTGTTATTTAAGTTGTGGTCATATTAAAAGAAAAAAGACTATGTACTCTGCACCATAATGGACTTTAGGCTTCAGGATATGACAATTTGACTACATGTTTTATTACCTTAAGTTTTAGAAATGGTTTACTTTTTTCTTTTTCTTAACAAGCTTCCACTTTTAATATGAAAGGGATTTGGTTTATTTGTACAATCATATTATGTTGCTTAAATATTTCTTGTTATTTAAGTTGTGGTCATATTAAAAGAAAAACAAGCTTTTTGATATTCTTACTGCAGTGATAATTACAAAATAAATAAAATCTTCTTTCTTTGAAATTTTAGATTTCGTTTACTGAAGGCCAGGCACTGTCTACAATCACTCTGACTGTTATTTAATTTTTCATTTTCAAAGAATCTTCTGAGCATTTTAATTAGCACTTCTGCTCAACCTGCATGCATGCACTACCCTAAGATTCTCAGCAATTTCTGTTAAAGTGTGTGATATGGCAACATAGGAGGGTGCTTTAGAGAATGAGAAGTGAGGGAATAGAGCTGGGATATGATGGTTTAATTTTTCATTTTCAAAGAATCTTCTGAGCATTTTAATTAGCAATTCTGCTCAACCTGCATGTATGCACTACCCTAAGATTCTCAGCAATTTCTGTTAAAGTGTGTGACATGGCAACATAGGAGGGTGCTTTAGAGAATGAGAAGTGAGGGAATAGAGCTGGGATATGATGCTAGGAGTGGATGGTGATTCTCAGCACAACTTCGGGGACAAAGGAGACAAAGCATAGAGAAATCCTTGGGTGGATACATCATCTTTGTTTTACCTCTATTTCCTTAACTGTCTAAAAGAGACAGTGCAGAGCATTCCACTTAAGTGCTTGGAACAGCACTGACAGCAAATAGAAATGCTTATTTACTTAAGGCATGTTTATCTCACAGAGAATATCACCATTCTTCAGTTACAAATTGTTCGAGATAAAGGACTACTTGGGGATATAGCCATTCACTTGATGGCTAAACCCAATTTCTTACTGCACGTCAGTAATCAAGCTACTGAGAATGAAGATTATGTACTGCAAGAGACAATAATAATAATGAAAGAAAACATAAAAGAAGCTCATGCCAACGTTGCCATTTTGCCGGTGAGTCTAGGCTGCAGTGAAAGTGATGTAAAATAAAGGAAAATGTTCTTAAAGGTAAAATCTTGATGCTCTTATAGGTAAAAGTCTTTTTTAAAAGGATGCTTTCAAACATGAAAATGTGAGAAATCCAATTTTTCCGCCTATCTAAATAGCAAGGTACTTTAAAAGGTTTGTGGAAAAATTGAATTAAAAGATAATATGAATCCTTTTATGAACTTTTTGAAGACCCCTCGTATTTACTAATGAATAAATAATTTATAACTGGCTGGTGAAAATGACAAAGACATTAATTGTTTATATTTATTTTTGAGCTGGAATATCATTTGAATTAACTTTGAAGCATTGAATTTGGAATGATTATGATCTGGATCCACTATTATGTTGGCTGGGTAGTTGTTTTAAACTAATAACTAAATGAATGAAATGCCCAAGTCAATCTGGTTATTTTTATTTTTTGGTTTGTTAGGTCAGTATTTTCATTTCATGATAAGATTACTTGAATCAAGATTACTATTCAGATGGTTTAGGTCTGGTTTTAGCTGTCTATGTCTTTATCTATATCCGTATCTTTATATCTAGAGAGAGAGAGAGAGAGAGGGAGAGAGAGAGAGGGAAAGAGGGAAAGAATATGTGAATATATCTGGATGCATAAGAAACTGAAAGTGGTAATAGTGGTATTATTATTGTTAATAATATTATATAAAATATTATCAAATATTGTGTTTATATATTGTATATAACATAACATTTAACTTTATATATTATATACTATAAAATACTATTAAATACATACTATGTAATAATATTAGTGTTACTAATAGACTAATAGTGATATTAGCAGTTTTAGGAAATAGTGTCTTCCGGAAAGAACAATCTGGGAAAGACATGGGATGTGTATAAAGGGGATTTCTTTTCAATATGTATTCTTTTTATATTTTGAAATTTTTTATTACCTATTCAAAAAATCAAATAATTTAAAAAATTAAGTAAAATATAAAATTATATCTAGATTTACAATTCTAGAGCTTTCATTTTTAAATCTGAGGGTACTTCAAAAAGTTCGTGGAAGGATTCATATTATCTTTTAATTCTATTTTTCCATGAATGTTTGGAAGAACCCTCATATATGTAGCATTTTCCAGTTTCCTCTAAATTTCTTTTGGGATACTATATATGTAACACATATTCAATAGTATATGGTCAAAAGTGTTGGATAGACTTTTAAAAATTATTTCATTTGCTAATGAGTATGAGGGTTCTATTGAAACATCACCTATAAGCTTTATCCCATAGATCCTGCAGTTATCGGTGGGAATGTGCTAAAATAAGGAATTTTTTATGTGATAGAGATGTCCATTCCTGTAGACAAAGTCAGTTGTTCCTTACTGAAAAATATCAAGTTTCCAATGCAAATTAAATGTCTTTTAAGAAACAAAATACCACCTCTTTCTCTTTCCCTCACCCCCCAGGATGATGCTCCTGAGTTGGAGGAAGGATTTATTGTCAGGATCACAGAAGTGAACTTGGTGAACTCTGACTTCTCTGCAGGACAGCTAAGTGTGTGGAGGCCTGGAATGGAAATAGCTGAGATAATGATTGAAGAAAATGATGATCCCAGAGGAATTTTTAACTTTCATATTACTAGAGTGAGATGAACTTTTGCATATTTATAGTAATATAGAAGCTTATCCCTGCTGATTTGGCCAGTGTTTTATAATATATTTTCTGCAAAATAATTGGCTTTGTTTGCAGATATTTATAAATAGAAAAGTAACCAAATTTGTCTTATAAGCTGATTTTTAGTTCTCTTTGAGCTAGACCAAAGGATTAAACAAGTTTATTTTTGTTAAATTTAAATGTAAGAGTTCTGAAGACCTATTATGCATACTTATATCCAACTCTTAACTTCTATGTTGAAGGGTGAAGTATAAGAAATATAAGTAGAAATGATAAATTTAGAAAGTGATGACTTATGAGAACTACCATTTCTGTCTTGCCTTTCAACTTACATTCTTTCCTTAAAGGATGGCGGTGGAGTGATTACTGTCTATGAGGTGCCTCCACCCTTGAACGTTCTTCAAGTTCCTGTAGTCCGGCTGGCTGGAAGCTTCGGGGCAGTAAATGTTAGTTGGAAAGCAACACCAGACAGTGCTGGCCTGGAAGACTTCAAGCCATCTCATGGGATTCTTGAATTTGCAGATGGACAAGTATGCTAGTCATGAACATATTAACATTTTTTTGATTGTACTTCAAATATTTTATAGGCATCCACCAAATGAACGTGCATTAGTGATTGCTAAATGTATTCTGTAAATGTTTTCATGTTAAGTCAAACAAATATTATTAATTAATGTAGAATTTATTAAAGGGCACAGGAAGAGAATGTTAAGAAGCAAGAATCTCACCCTTTTCTGAACATTCCTACTTGATTCTAATTAAAAAGAAGTTGTGAAACAAGGTAATAATTGACTTAACAATTGCCTAACAATGTATAAAAAACTGAGGAACTAGATTATTCCTATGAACTTCAGTTTCTTTTGGAGGTGCCTAACAATGTATAAAAAACTGAGGAACTAGATTATTCCTATGAACTTCAGTTTCTTTTGTTCCATTTATTTCTTAGTGCTTGTAAATACAAATATTTATTTATTTAGAATTTGCACTAAAAGTGTACACTCCTTTTACATAATATTCAAAACTTTATAATTAGAAAAAAGACTAAAGTAATAAAAAAGGAACAAAATAGTTAAAACTTGAAAAAATTGAAAAACAACATTCTAGATTTAGGCCAATGAATCTTAAACGTTGGCCGTTTTGTAACATGTAAGAATAAGATGTTTTCGTGAGATTTTAAATCAGTAACTGGAAAAGGCATGTGACCAACCATGAGAATGTTAGTAACTTAAAATTGTAGTATTTATATACGGGTAGCCTGTTTTTTACCAAAATTTACATAATATACACCGACTTATTACTTTCCCCTAAAGAGGCAATAAATGTTGCTAAAAACTAAGCTTATAGATATAGATTTTCCTACATATAAAGCCCTATCATTGTTAATATTTTTCAGATCATGAGTTCTTTAAACATTTAGAACTTTGAAACATTTCATACTAAAAGGAGGAGAATGCAAGTAAATGAGATTTTTATGTTGAAAGTATAAACAAATAAATTGATATATCATTGAAACAGCTTTCTAACTTTAGTTATATTATCAGCAGTTTATTCTGTAAATGAAATTGAAGGCCCATCATTTTCCCATCATCCTTAGGATCATAATTATTTCTAAAATTTACATCCTGTAGGGAAGATATTTTATATTCTGTAGTACAGATTTGAGGTGCAAACATTTTTAATAAGCTTCCATTTTAGCATTTGATTTTATTCAGGTTTCTGCCTATCTGAGTGTAATGTCCAGGTTTCTTGCTTTTCCCTGTTAGATTAAAGGTTTTAGACGGACTTGAAAAACTTCATTTTCTGGTAAATGCCTGTGTCAAAGTACTGGAATTTCCCTCTGCGATACAGAAAAAGATTTTTAAATATGGAGATACAACTGGGATATTTTTATGACTAAGAGTGAAATCACAAAGCTGGATCAAGTTTATTTATGTCTATAAAAACTTTTAACATAGACCCAGACAAATGAACTGAATCTTGATTATAGACATCTAATAACAGCAAATTGGGGTTTTCTTCCTGTCTTCTGTTTCACCTACATTACGAGAACAGCATTTGAAACCAATGGGGTTTATTTTAATTGCAGAAGGCAATGATAATTTTTTTTGGTTCCATTTTATATCACGTAATATTAATACCAAGCATTCTGCATTTTATGTTTGTGCAATGGTTGTTAGCGCCTGCATGACATTTAAAAGATTTTGTTCAAGAATAAGGATTCATTGCTTTTTGTATCTGTAAACAGTACTATATTTTATTACATATATAATTTTTCTTATTTTGAAAACAATAGACTTTGTAAACTTTTTACTTTGAAATATTATAAATATTTGTGATTTGAAGGTATGTTACAGGACAAAGAAACTACTTTTTTCTATCGCACTGTGTTTCTAAATTTCAACTAAAAATTTTATATATGAGCAAAAATTGTTATTACATTATTTCCTTCCCCTTTCCCTCCCTCCCTCTCTCCCTCTCTTCCTTTCTTCATTTTTCTCCTGCACTTCTTCTCTTCCTTTCATTCATAGGTTACTGCAATAATAAAAATCACCATAGTTGATGATGCTGAATTTGAACTCGTAGAGACATTCAGTCTTTCCTTAATCAGTGTGGCTGGAGGTGGCCGACTTGGTGATGATGCTGTGGTAACTGTTGTTATTCCACAAAATGATTCTCCATTTGGAGTATTTGGATTTGAAGAAAAGACTGTAAGTTTAATACATCAGGGGAGTGGCTTGCCTCAGGCTCATTTTTCATATAATTTTTCCTACAATGGTATTTTTTATTTTTGCTTTGAAACTCTCATTACCCTTCATTCATGAGTCTCTTCTCAAGGCTTTTTTGAGTTGGCTGTTGAAGTAGGGGGAAGTCCTGCATCCTATGCACATAGTTTTATATTAATGAAAGTTACAAAATGGGAACAGATTTCTATGTATTAGACATAGTAGACCAAGATTACTTTCTGTCCAGACCTTCTGTTCCCTGCCTGCCCTACTGCCAGGCCACCATCCTGGTCACAAGGCAGGATTCTGTCATGAGTTTGGGTGTCGCATCCCAGAATGGCCTTAGCTTGTGAGAGATTTGTGTTACCCATTGTTCTTGTACTCTGTTGTGACTTATATTGAATAATATATACCACAGGCACTCCCAGATCATGTATTTCTCTGTATTTCTTCCCTCTAACTTTTCATTGGGTGTTTTGTTTCAAGATCTGAAGGAGGGAGCCTAATTATTATTGGTTCAATCACTGAAGGAGAAAAAACAAGCTTAATCAATGAGAATTAAATATTTGTGCAGCCAGGTTTGGTGACTAATACTCAATTATTTCTACATCTTAAATATAAAGCACTGCAAGCCCTATTATAATTATTATTACATGATGATTATGTCATAATTACTATAACTTTACCTTTCAAGGGAAGTTTCACGATGAAATAATTATAAAAATATTTGGATAATTTCCATCTACTCAGCAACTTTTCTGGCTCCATATGTTGTCATTCCCTTTATTTAGTCACTTATTACCCATTACTCATGGGTAATCAGTAATTTACTATAGATTATTTCTCATTATAAACCAGTTGCTGTAATGCCCATTGTCTTTACTGTCCTGTGGATGCAACTCTAGACCTACAACTTTCCTGTCAGGACTGGGCTTCCTATATGCTCCAGAATTTAAATATAAGCTAATAATTGCTTAATGATTTGGTCATTGAATGTCAGTAAGAAAATGGGAAACATAGAAGGACAGAACACACTTTTGTTGTAGCCCAATGAGACTCTTTTTCTTCCTGGGGAAAGAAATAAGCAGAAATAAGTATTTGTAAAGAGTGGTGGATTGGCTATAGAGTAGCAGTGAGTATCTTCCAGGCAACATAAAGTCTGGGACAAAAGTGTAAAGAGAAGAGTAAAAGTATCCACGTTAGTACCCTCAGATAGACATCATTAATATTTTGTTGTATTTCCATCCAGGCTTTCTTTGTGTATATGCAAAGAAATATTTTAGTACACATGAACATGTAATTTATTTTTCATAAACTGTTTCTATTAGCTTCTAAGTTTAGATAAAAAGATCAGGTTCAGTGTTCAAATTTTCAACTGATGAAACCTTATAGTGATGTTTTTGCTTTTATCTTCACATTTTTGGATTTAGGCATTGGACAACATGTTTAAAATCTCTTCTTACTATTAGGGAAAATGAAGAGTTACATTACTATTCATAAAGAATTTTTGTTTATTCATTTTATCTTAACTGCTGTCATAAACTTTAGTGCTCTAAAACTAGTTTAAGCACATTTAGTGTGGGAAATAATATCTTATTGTAATAGCCTCAAATTTCCAATTTGTCTTAGAGTCTAAAGATGAGATTTAGGTTACCGAACCCCCATTGTGTTATTCCTCATAATCCTTGTTATGAGGCATAAATGAGTTGATATATGTAAGGCACTTATGCCTGGCTGTGCACTCAGCCGGTGTCAATTGCTCTTTTTCTTGTTGCTAGTATTAGTGGTAGCTTGTTGCTCAGCCCTTGGTGGCTGCTTTCCGTATATCCTATATTTCTTACTGCGTATGTCTCTTGATAACATGGAATTTATCTTTTAATATCTATCTAAGATGTACAGTATTGTGCAAACAACGAACATTCTGTTCGTATCAATTGGTGACACAGACTAGATTCAGAACTGAAGAACATTGAAAAAAAGATCATTAGCTTAAATCTGTCAATATTAATAAGTTGCTCACAAGGGCGATGTGTTAGGTATAGCAAAACATCAACAATAGCAGAGACCCATGCTTTATTTTAATGAGGTATAGTCAGCATTAGGACTCCTGCACAATCTTTCTCTAATTTGTATTTGATTTTCTTTTGCATGGTATTACTTATGATTTCATATGATAGTATTCAGTATATCTGGAACTTTTTTTGAAATCCATATGCATCATGAGAAAAAAAAATCACATGTGCATGTACACACACACACACACACACACACACACACACACGCGCAAGCATAAAATCCCTAGATATCTGAACTCTGCCTCCATCCCACCATAAAACTGCCCCTTCTCTCACATTTCCTCTCTTGATTAAGGGCAAAGCCAATCAACCAGTCAGATATCTGGGTGTCACCTCCCCTTCCTGTAATACTTGCATGTATTTGGTCACTGAGTCTGGTCAATTTTTCCTGTTAAACATGCTTTCTCATTGTCTAGAACTTTATACTGAATCAAAATATCGCATACCATAATAACAGAAAGACAACCTCACATTTACAAAGACTCATAACTTTTAACAACCATGTACACTTTGAAAAAGTAATTGAGGTGTTATTTCATCCAATCAAAAACTTAATTAAAATAAATAATTTAAGAATGGAAAGCACATTACAGTCCATCTCCTTGTGTTCCAGCCTCCCATAGTGATGACAAGTGAAGGTGAAAGTAGACAGGTCCAAGATCTCTTTCCGTGGGTAATTGGTTCCTACCACCACTGGGAATAACTCCTCTTTCCAAAGTCCTATAAAGCATTTTTAAATGTTCTATTTGTTTATGTCTGATATTTTCCCCCAACAAGTAAGGCCGTCCTTGATCAGAGGATAGAATCAGGAGGTTTGTCTCCAGAGTCAACCATTTCCATCTGGTTGTTTGGTCACCAACTTGGTATATTTCATGGACAAGTGCATTTCATGTTCAGCTTCACTGTTGTATATCCAGGTCTGAAGTACCCATGTCTCCATGGGTTCTAATTTGGTTTTGATGATATCTGCAGTCTTCTTCCAATCCTGATGAAGGCTAGTGCTATCTCTTCCAGCAGTACTGCACAGGTGGATCTCTGTTCCCACAAAGCATCCTCATAGCAACTTAGTGCTCACATTGGCAATAGAGATTCTAGTCTGCAGTAGCTATTAGACCTCACATACATCCCAGATTGTACCAAGATTTACTGTGTAATAGTTTCCTGAACTGCCCCCAAATGTAGCAGTGACTGCAGGGTCAACGTTGCCCCACTTATAGGAAAATTCTCACAGTAGTTCTGTTCAGTCCTACCTTGGTAATAGGTTGAAGTTCTTTCTTCCTTTTTCTGTCTGCACGCAGGATAGCTCCATACTCTGTTTACAGAAACGAATGGTCTGCAAGTGATAAATTAGTGGGGCTTTGCCTTCCCTGGGAAGAAGATTTTGGAATGTAGATTAGTGTCAGAAGGCTTTTTAGGGAGTGCTTTTGGGATCAACACTGTGTAAGTGAAAGAAGCATGATTGGGATGGGGTGAAGGCAAGCTGTGATACAGTCTTAAACTGACGCTACAGTTTGTTCTGAAGAGGGACTAACTCTTCACAGCTGTCCTGATTTGAAGCAAGGGTGAGTTTTATATTCTGTGCTGAGCAGTCATAGGATGTGGACCATGCCAGGAAGAGGCTCTGACCCTGCAGGAGGGGACTTTTCTCAAACGAGGCAGTTTCCAGAGGAGCCTGACAGATGAGAGCTGGCTGCTGGAAACACTCCCTACAAACGGGGTAATGAATTCTTTGCTGAAGGGGATCTTAGTGGACATCAGAGCATCCAACACGGAGGTCTAGGGTAGGGCCATGCTCAAGAGAAGCTTAGTCTAGGAGCCCCTTCCACTCTTTCCCTTAATATTTTATGAATAAATGAATAAACGTTATCTTTCTCCTTCCCACTTTGACCTTTTCCCTCTACCCGTTCCTGCCTCCGTCCCATCCCTTCCACAGGTGTTGGCCCCACGTGTACTCACTATCATTCCTTCCCTTTCTTGTCTTTCTCTTAGCTCAGTAATTTCTTAGAAAGTTTGCTGGGTTTTCAGTGTGGGCTGGGAGAGGTAAAATGGTCTTTAGGGAGAGAAAAAATAAAGGAAAGGAAATATACAAGAACAACTACATTAATAGTTTGAGACATAACTGTGACACATTCATTTTTATCTCTACCTTTTCCTCTCAATTCTAATAAAACACTCCAATTTGCCCCATTCATGGCTGATTACATTTTCTTCATTTTGAATTCTGCTTGTTATTGCTTCTCATGAACATTTTAGTTTTGCAATTGCATTTTTCTTTGAGTTTTTATTATTAAATAGTATTATTTAAATCTCTTCATTCGGGTTGTTTTCTCTTCATAGTTTCTTATTCCTATTTTACAGTATAAGCATTTTTAAAAATTTGGTGAGGGCCTCTAGGAAAATGTGTACTTCCTGCCTGCGACCGTATTAAATGTACTCATGGAAAATCTGTAATTCCTGGGATACAGGGCATCACGCCCACCCCTTTTACTCCTTGCGCGTTGTGAAATTGGTGTAAAGGGGTAGAGCTGATGAGAGGGGGAACACAAGAGCTCTGTGCTGGGTGGCAACATGTTATTCTGGTCAGTGCAACCTCTGTGGCCTGGAGTTCAGAGAAGTCAGGAAATGGATCTGATCTCCTCTGTGGTTTTCCCTGTTATTTAGGTTCATGGTGTGGAATGTGTATGAGTATGTGCCATCTAGTCCACCCCAAATTGATTCCTCCACTAGTGGAAATTCTGTGTAGATTTTAGAAACATTTTTTTTATCTTTAATTTCTTTTGTTGTCAGTTTAGGCCTTTTACGGTGTCTACATGTTCATTTGAAGAAGGCACAACTCACCCAACCAGTCTGGTGCCAGTTTAACTCAGAAATTTCTTTCCTCTATCTTTATGTTTTGATCTGGTATAAAAATATAGGCACTCATGGTAAAAACCTCCGACAATACAGAGGGATGTAAAAAATAAGTGCAATTTTCCTGCCTCCTGGATCTTTTTTTCCTACTTCCCAGAGGTAACCACTATGGACAGTATATCCTTCCAAAAATTTTGTATGCGCTTTTAAGCATATGTATCTTACTCTTACACAAGTGGAATTTTACTCTGCAATCTGTTCTGTAACTTGCTCTTTTTACTTTACAATTTATCTTAAACATTTATTTAACATACTAGCCAAAATCCACTACATTAAAAAATTGGTTGCATATTTTCTGTTGCATAGATTCCCCTCGGTATTTGATACTATTAGGTTTCTTCACGATCCCTCTGTTTCACCAAGTTTTTTTGTAGTTCTGACACTTCTTATCTCTCTGTGATTAACATTTTTTGCTTAGTGTTTCATTCTCTCTAGTTTCCCTTTCTGGACTGTTTATACGCTATCGCAGACTTCTTCTATCACCTATATTTGTATCATTTTCATTTACTTTCCTTTTTTTCCAGTCTTGGTTTTCTTGTGATGCTCGAAATAGCCCTGAAAAGTAAAAAGGATACAGATTTTATAGCTAGCTAGACGTTAATTCAAATCTTCACCCTATCATTTCATACCGTGTGACTTTAGGAAAATTCATTAATTTCTTTCACATTTGGTTTCCTACAATACAGATTTTATAGCTAGCTAGACGTTAATTCAAATCTTCACCCCATCATTTCATACCGTGTGACTTTAGGAAAATTCATTAATTTCTTTCACATTTGGTTTCCTACTTGCAAAATGAGGATAATAATGGTTAACTTGAGCAAGGGCTCTGAGGAGCACATGAAATAATGTTTGTGAAGAGGCTAACCAACTTCCTGACACTTAGAAAGTGCTTTATAAAATAGCTGTAACTTAGAAAAAAAATAATGAAATAGCAGTTTGCTACCTCAACTTAATATAGTGAAGCCTAACTCCTTTTCCACATTGTTTGATTAAAAAATTAGGGGCTTTGAACTTCAAAAACTAGGAAACAATTTATATATATTTTTTCCTGAGGTAGCCTATTGCGGCATTTCCCAAACTGCTGCTCTGCACTGCTCTTCTGCAGAATGGTAATAACTGTTCTAAATTTTAAAGAAAAAAAAAAAGTCCATGTTTAAATAGATTTGGGACAATCTTGATTCCTATGATTTAGCAGTAATGAGAAGAAATTTCACAATGGGGGAAAAAGTATAAAAGAACTAAGAATACATTTAGCCAGAAGCAAGTTGGACCTATATGAAAACAAAGAAAAACAAAATCTTAAAAGCGAAGGTAAAAGAAAATTGAAATGTGTATGCAAAATATCAGATTCTTGGATGGAAAACTAAATTTTCTTATGAATTAGGCCCCTTTATTTCTGCCTACAGGTAGTTTTGTTAGGAAGGTTCCTCTGCTAACTTAGCACTGGCCAAACATGCCATGAGTTGGATGTGCAGTGATGACAAACGACGACAGGCATTTCAGGACTGTTGATAGCACTGATGACTGTGATCCAGGATCATTCATAACTTTGTTTTCTTGCTTTGAATGGAGCTAACTATCCCTTAGGAATATTAAACCTGTGACCTTGTCTGTTTATGTCACGGTATGCCTATTTAGCTCTCTTCAATGAATTAGACTTTGAATGGCTGTGAATTTTCAGTAAGTTTAGGAGTTGAGTTGAATTTTTTTTCTGTTTTCCCTGTTAAGAATCTAAATAGGATTTATAGTCAGAGCTGATTTTTATATAGTAATTCTTTCTAGATACAACCTGCAATTCTAGGCAACAAAAAGAACATGTTTTAAAAATATTTCTGGACATAAACATTGTTCTGCTAATAAAAACATCCAAAATTTGTCTTTAGTCAATCTGGAAAATTTATTGTCTCTCTCATTTGCTGTAGACTGAGTCCCAGAAGATCATTGCATTACACACATTTCAAGACACTGTGTTGGAGGAAGACAGGCATTTCACCATTCAGCTGATATCAATTGATGAGGTAGAAATATCTCCAGTAAAAGGTAAGAGAAATTCACATTTTTGGAAATCAGAAAATACATCCTCAGAAAAAATATAACCAAATAATCAGTGGTTACAAAAATAAGCAATGGTCGGTTTTATAATCCCTAAATTATTTACTAAAACATAAAGGTATCATTTTTGACCTATATTACAAGTAAAGAATTTTGAAATTGAAATTATAATACACAATGTTGGTAAAGTCATAAGTCAATGATTTCATAGTGCTTAGCTGTGTGATTTTTTAAACTAAAGATGTTCATGGTAGCAATTTTTATAAAAAATAATATGAAAGGGTTCTAAATGGTCCAACAGCAGGAGAAAGAATACTAATGTAACAGAATACTATTCCATTCAAATACAACCATTCAAAATGATGTAGCAGAAAAACTCCTAATTACATTAAAAATTAAGAACACTTAATTACGTGGATAATTGTTACGTTAATAGAACAGGCTTCATAACAACATGCTCAATGTAATTCCATTTTTGTCATGTGCACGTCTCACATAAGTTTGGAATTGTTTACTTGAAATGTTAATTGTGGTTTTTGATTATCTATATGTTCTAAATTATTTACAATTGTAAGTAGAGCTGAAATAAACATGGGAGTACAGGTGTCCATTTGACAAGATGATTTCCATTCCTTTTGGTGTATATATAGTGGGATTGCTAGGTTATATGGTAGTTGTTTGAGGAATCTCCATACCATTTTCCATAATGGCTGCACCATTTTACAGTCCAACAGTGTTGGAGGGTTCCCCTTTCTCCATATCCTCACCAGCATTTGTTATCCTCTGTCTTTCTGATAGCCAGTCTAACTGGGGTGAGATGACATCTCAATGTGGTTTTGATTTGCATTACAATGATCTTATATTACTTTTGTAATAAAATGTTATTTTAAAACTTAACATATGTTTGGTATTATAGCCTTCCTATACCTATTTTTATCTTAAAGTAGTTACTCAGATATTTTGACATTTCAGAAATAGGCATCATAATTCTCATTTGCATATGGTTCATACGATGATTTGTTTCTTGGATCTGCAGGGAAGAAATTAATGATGGTTTTTTTGTGCTGTAAGCAATAACCGTCATATTGGTTATTGTTATGAAGGCACTTCAAGAAGTTCATGGAAAGATTTATATTACCTTTCAATTCCATTTTTCCATGAACTTTTTGAAGTATTCTCATCCATGTCTTTTTTTTTGCCATCAAGAAATCCATCCTGTGCAAGGGCCTGTGGCTAAAAGCAGATTTTGTCTCCAAGGCAAATCTCAAAATTATAGAGAGTATCACAGTATATACTTAGGATATTTATTCTTTCTGCATTTTTATCTACTTTCCAACAAGCCTGTCGAGAAATCATATTATAGCTTAAGTCTTAAATTGGCTCAGTTGTCTACATCACCTTAAAATGACAGGGTTAATGTCACGTAGGCTAACTAGATATATGAATAAAAATATATCAGTGGATCAGGGTAAATAGTCTATCAATATAAAATTTTTTTTAACATATTTCTGTCTAACTGACTTATTAGCATATGACTAACCACTCTTGGTTTCATCAATTCATTGCCAGAGAAAGTGAGAGTATAATAATCCAGCTCTTTGTTTTATGAAATCCAAATGTGTACTTTTGGAAACAATTTTTTCTAGTTACTGCTAAATTATCATATACATACTCAAATTACTTGATAACAGTTTTTATTTTCATTTTCATAGAAATATTTGACACAGTATTGTAAATGCTTATTATTAAATGTTAGAGTCAGAAAATTAAAAATAAAAAAGTGCCCTCAAGAATTCTTGCTTTTAGGGCCGGCCTGGTGGCGCACTGCTATAGTGCGCCGCTTGGGAAGCGCGGTAGCGCTCCCGCCGAGGGTTCGGATCCCACATACGTTGCGATCCGTGGCCGGTCCCAGGCCGGTACGGGCGCGACACTGAGGGTTGCGATCCGTTGCCGGTCACGAAAAAAGACAAAAAGGAAAAAAAAAAAAAAAAAAGAATTCTTGCTTTTGCCACGTAGTCAGTTGACGTAGCCACATAGCCAATTGTAGAGAGCTGCAGAATGGTTACTGTAGAAGTGAATTAATGCAAATGGTAGAGTAGCACTTGCTTATCACACGGGTGACAGTGAAATTAGTGCTTCACTAAACTGTGATCTTCAGCAAGTTATTTGCCTTAGTGTCTTCAATGTGCTTCAGCGTCCTCATAGGTAAAATGAGAATATTAGTGCCTAACTTTTATGGCTGTCATGACGATTAACAGGGTTAATTAACTAGGTTAGTATATGTGAAGCACTTGGATCATTGCTAGGCATATGCTAAGTGCATGCATGTGTTTGCTACAAAGCAGTATATGTCATCTTCAATTCAGGTAGTGCATCAATAATCATTCGAGGAGATAAAGGAGCATCAGAAGTTGGGATAGCGCCATCGCATAGGCACGTCCTCATTGGGGAACCCTCCAACAAATATAATGGTACTGCTATCATCAGGTAAGGGCTTCATAATTTTTCTTTGCCTCCACGGGGGTTATGAAGTTTTATTTAAATAATCAGCATTAAATATGTCACTCTTAATACATACATAGTCTTCAAGCATTGTCATTTTATGTATTGGTAACATCCTGTGGAGAACAGAACAAACATTGGGCAGAAATTGAAAATGTATCCTGACCTATCTTGAAGTTAGGTCATGAGGAGGTTTCTAACTTTTTGGTGATTTGCAGGACTTGGTTCAAGGAAAGCACACAGAGTTGAGATCAGAAGATCTATGCTTTCACCCCATTCTGTCACTAAACATGTGCTGTAAGAGAATGACTTCATCTCTGTAAGCTGGTGTGTCTAAGCTACAAAATCATTCCTTGAAAAGTTATCAAGAGCAAACATTTTGACTCTCAGTGTTCTAAAATCAGGGCCTACCATACAACTAAAGTAGTAGAATCATAGGCAAGTTTGTTTTTCCCAAATTTTCTCATGAAGAGTGGGACAGCAACTATTAATGAAGTAGCTGGATTTGGCTTCATACTTCGTGCTTTTGATGTTGCTCAAAGGTGATACTTCATCCTTTTCTATTAGTATGTGCCTGTGTTAAGTGTTTACTGTTCTTTAGAGAACTGTTAGGCTATTCACATTTTGTACCTTGTGTGGTGAGAGTCTTTAAATACTTCTTTTTATTCCTTTAAACCTTCCACCTTCAGTGTTTGATTTTTGCCAGTATTCTTGTCAAGATAGATTTAACATACTTCGGATGTTACCATACTGGAACTAAAACACTTTCTTTTGGTTTGTAGTTGATAGATAAGGTTATTCAAAAGCATAATGTTCTTAAAATAAGTGAAAATTGGTTACTGTTGAAAGACACAGCAAATATTTAGGAAAAGCATCTTCAGTGAAAATGTGTTGAATTTACATTTGTTTATTGTTGTAGCCTTGTTCGTGGCCCAGTGATTTCGGGGGAGGTCACAGTTTTCTGGAAGATATTCCCTCCTTCTGTGGGGGAATTTGCTGAAACATCAGGAAGAGTGACAATGCGTGATGGGCAGTCTGCAGCCATTGTAGTGATACAGGTATCAACGTTTCTAGTTTCTGTTACACTCTTTGCTCTGTGTGTGTGTGTGTGTGTGTGTGTGTGCATGTGCTTATGGGTGGGAGTCGGGAAGGAGATTAATATTACAGAGTTTGTTGTTATTTACCTGATAGGTGTTTTTCTTTAAATTTTATAAATTCCACTGTCAATGGCTCTTTTTGTCTTTTTCTAGGCTTTGAATGATGACATTCCTGAGGAAAAGAGTTTCTATGAGTTCCAGCTCACTGAAATCAGTGAGGGAGGAAAACTGAGTGAATCCAGCAGCACTGCCAACATCACAGTGGTGGCCAGTGACTCCCCCTATGGCCGATTTGCCTTTACACATGAGCAACTTCGAGTGTCAGAAGAAGCACAGAAGGTATAGTGTGAAGTGCTTACAATTTTCATATCATTTTTGTTTTTGATATTGTGAGTAATCTTTGAAATGTATTTCCTTATTCCAGAGTTTTTCACAAACTAATTAATTTGCTCCTAACATCATTATTTTAACATATAACTTTTATAATTTTATAAATTTATTTATCATTTTAACATAATCCTGATAAATAGAATATTTAATTAGAGACAATATTGTCTGGTAGATTAAACATTCAAATCAAATAAGAAGATGCTTTTCGCATAGGTTAACATCACAATCATTCGTTCGGGGGGATATTTTGGCCTGGTACGACTCTTCTACAAGACAGTGAGTGGGACAGCAGCAGCAGGCTTGGATTTTGTTCCTGCAGCCGGGGAGCTTCTCTTTGCAGCAAGGGAGCTGGTGAAAAGTCTGCATGTTGAAATCCTTGATGATGACCATCCTGAAGGCCCTGAGGAATTTTCTCTAGCAATTACAAAGGTGGAACTCCAGGGAAGGTAAAGGAAAAAACGAAATTAGAAAAAAGAAAACAAGAAAGAAAGAGGGAATGAAAGTAAAAGATATAGTGTGGAGAGTAATACTGAGCTGTTAAACAGTTCTTTCCCTGCTCTTTCTCAGGTTGTGTGACATTAGAACAGGGTATAGAATGGAAATTGTGACAAAGACTGTTATTTTTTGCAATTTTCTAAAATGTGTATATTTTTCCCCTTAAACTTGAAAGTACATGTTTCTGTTGTGTGAGTGCGCTGTGGCTGGCCAGGGAACTGGACATGATATGGGCTTCTAGTAATTTGGTGAGGAAATAGCCTAAGCGCTTCCTAAGTCAGAGGTCAGCTGGGATGGCAGAATTTGCTTCCCCATATTTCCATACTTGTAAAAGGACTGAAGCAAGGGATATTTTCCTTGGTATATCTGAAAGCAGTATTGTCTTCTCTGTGGGTGAGTGAGTAGATGCTTGCCCAGTAGCACTTTTAAGGTGGGGAAAAATTGAGTCAAAGGTAGCTGGCCATTAATGTGTAACATGTTTTCAGTGAAGATTGAGAATGAACCATACTGAGTCCTTTTCATTTCCTGATTTAGTGGGGCAGACTTGATTGACAAGGCCAGAAAACACCTTTAGCATGCTTAAATATCCACAGGTTGAGAGCTCACAGGTTAAGCAGCCCTATAAGCACCTCTGCATGGATAGCTTACACAGAACCCAGAAAGGTGGGACCTTCAGCTAGAATAATGTTTGTATTTATAGAAGTCTTAAAGAAAGAAATTTTTCTTATGCATGAAAATAATTTTTTTGCATTTGTTATATAATTACCATGCTTTAAAAACTTTTTTAAACAAAAATATTTCACTCATTGATTTAGGTAGAGTGTATATCATCCCATCTGGGAAAAAATATTGTGGACTCACATACACTTCAAATCTTAAATTTCCCAAAAATGATTCTGTATTCGGTGATTAGAATGAATTTGTATGTATATTAAATTGTTAAAATTCAAGCTGGTCACTGACTGTTTTAATTAAATAAGTTCAATTTGGTAAATGTAGCTCATTAAGTGTGAGATCATATTTGTGTTATTGATTAACTAGGGCTTGGAGATTTTGCCTTCTCTACTACCCTTAAAAAAAGCAGTTTCTACTTAAGTTAAATTCTGGAGAAATGAGTTTTTCCTTCCAGAGAAATTTCTATGCTTTCTTCGATCTGAAAATGAAAGTAGTTGTATTAGTCCGTTTTTGTTACTTATAACAAAATATATGGAACTGGGTATTTTGTAAGAGAATGAAATATATTCCTTACAGTTTTAAAGGCTGGGAAGTCCAAAGTCCAGGGAATACATCTGATGAGGTTCTTATTTGGTGGTAGCTTTACAGCAATGCTGAGGTCTCCCATGGCAGAAAACGGCAGAGCAGATAGAGAGTAACCTCTCATGTGCTCTTCTTTTAAAGCCCTCAGAACTACACCCTTGACCACCATTTTTAATCCACTCACTATGGCATGGTCCTACAATCTAATCACCTCTTCAAGGGTCCACCTTTCTATGACCATATTAGGATTTCCCACCCTCAACAGTTACAGTGGGAATTAGGCTTCTAATATATGAACTTTAGGGGACACAATTCAATCAATCCACAGCAGTAGTATAATCCAGTGTGTTTCCCTTCTTGCCTCGTTGCTAGAAAACACACTGCTTTGGTATTCAGTTATGATACTAAGCTAACCTACAACCCATTTCAGACTACTACAGTCATTCTTATCATTTATTATTTTAATCCTGTTTTCTAATTTTACCTTATATGTAATCTTATTAACCAGCTTTTAAACTTTCAATACGTTAAGTACCAGTTAAATAAAATCTGGGAGTTGAAGGAAGAGCTAAAATGGTTTAGTGCCATTTTTTAG